ATTCCATATTTCAATGCAGTAGTATCATTAAAAGTTCAAAATTCATTGTTTAAATTTTGAACCAGCCTGGTGTGTTGACTTCATGGCTCTCATCGTACCATTTTGTGCCATAATAGGATGCCTAGGCCTGTTTTTATTTTAATTTTTTTCGCCCGTCCGCTCCATTATTTTTCTAGAAAAATCCGTTAACCAAGAAATTAAATTGGTGTGACCATAAGGAGAGGAGTTTACCTCAGAAAATGAAATACTTGTACAATGTCATTATTCAATCAGGGCTGACAGATAATGTGTGCAAATTAGATTAAGAGAGTAGAAGTTGCTATAATATGTATGTCTTCAATATTCTTCGCATTGTTAAGTAAATACATATAAAAGATACAGCAACAGTTACAGAAATGTTGCTCGTGTTCGGTTGTAGGTAACATAATAGCAAGTAAAAATTATCTAACAAAGCACCGTCAGTAGAAACCTTCCTAACAAAAATCTCATCATCTTACATGTATGATTTCATGAAATTAAATAGGCAACAATGTACAAATGTAGGTCAAAAGTAAGGTTAGAGAACATGCATGGTATAACACATCATACCTACATGTGACTAAATATAATACTGATTTGAGTTTAATCAAATACAAGAAAATATGTTAACTTTTATGTACATTCATACTTAAAAGTCTTTTTTTTTACATTGCATGGGGAAATAATCCACCAGTATCAAAACATCACTCTCAATTTGGAAACAAAAAAATCTGACATAAACTTTGACATGTACATTTACCAAGAGTTGTGTCACATCAGTGTCTAGTACGATGGCCTGTATTTTCTGAACCAGGACCTTATTTGCAGAAAATAAGTAGGCCAACCCTATAACCAAATTACTATTAGAGAATCAATGTAATAAAAATGACAACAAAAGGGCAATAGAGTCTTCATTACATGCAACATTCATAATACAGAGACCCTGTAAGAATATGTAAATTTTGGAGGGATTCACATATAAAGCCAATGCTGCCTATATCTCTAGCATTACTGTATATTATTCTTACTACATAATTCCAGTCTAACAAAGCAATGTGCTTGAAAACAGTACACATGCACACAGTGCACAATAGAATGTATGAACATCACTCTGATTTGTGGAAAGAAGTGAAATTAAGTACATTATGAAGATTTTCTTTATTGATTCCCAAAAAGGACAAACACCTGAAAGAACATATTCATGTAGGAATGAAATATTGAGACAGAAATGATATATTTTCCATGTGTGGAGGTGTGGCCCAATCTCATTCCCAGAGTGCTGAGAGGCAATTCAGTCTTGTCCCCAGGGTGATGAGATGGATTTCCATGGAGGTTGGTAAGGATGGAAACTGTGGAGAGACAACAGAAACAAAACATCATTCAGCACAGACCAGCACAGTCCTGCAATCTTTCTCCATTTTGTGAGCTGATTTCATCATTGTGTCATTTTGGAGACAAGGAAAATGACTGTATCAAAAACATTGTAAGAAAATCTATGTCCCACTAAGCAGAGATATCTACCAACCGCCAAAAAAATGTGACCAACAATAAGATAATAAAACAAACACGCACAAAAGTTGCCAAAAATCACCGTATGGAAAAGGATAGTATACAATTATAAAGATACTAAGGATGAACCGCAACAAATTGAACCAAATATGCAGTTGCCAAAAGTCAAATTACAAAATGGTAGAGAAAATCAAAATACTGGATCATTACTTTGCCTACACGATACAATAATTTACATGATGGCTTTGAATTTATCATTAGCTTAGGCCACACCAATTTAATTTCTTGGTTAACGGATTCGCCTCTTCATTTTTTTCTGATTTGCAAATAAAAATAAAAATTCAGAATCAAGTGCAAAATGCTCATATTTTGCCCTGAACAGTTGAAAACAGTTCTTTTCTTACTACTTGTTACAGTCATTCCCTCTTTCAATGCAGTGCTACCATTAAATGTTCAAAATTCATTGTTTAAATTTTGAACCAGCCTGGTGTGTTGACTTCATGGCTCCTATTGTACTATTTTGGGCCATAATAGGATGCCTAGGGCTGTTTTTATTACCCTCCATGAAAATGGGGGTACTGTTTTTACTCCGTTTCATGTTTGGTCTGATATCTGAAGATCGGTGAGAAGGAACTGTACGATATTTGGCAGATTGATGGATGGGGCCTTGGAGATTGTGTAGGTTGACTTTGAGCCCCTGGTGATTGACCTTGGTACTGCAGTTTAATTTTTTTATTCTGTTGTTTTCGCGTTATGGACTGTTTGTGCGATATTAAGGTAGCATGTAGTTGTTATTACCATGGTTTAGTGGTTTAAATTTGGGTCCCCTAGCTGTTTGCGTTTGATATTTACAAAATGTTTAATGTTGGACTTTTTGTGTTGAATGTTTGGAAAATCTGGGGGATGGTTTGGTATGATTTTTGGTATGTGGGTAGTTGTTGAGTCTCTTTGTGTTTTGGAGTGCATTAGCAGGTTGTCGCATATTTTTATTGCTTAATTTAAAAGGATTTTCACTTTTTCACCCCTACTTCATAATAGGATGGTCTGTTTGACCCAAAAGTTGGGACAGAGTGTTTTTGTTTATACCTCCAGCTGGCAAATCAGACCCAGGCAGCCCTATCTATTTTTACCCCTAGACAGATCTAGAGTCTGCAGGAAAATAAATCATGTTTGGCTGGTCTGCAGGTCATTTGTCTGTCTGGTCATTGACCTACATGTACAGGCAAATGTAGCCTGGGTACCATCCCCAGTAGTATATTCGCAAACTCTATAACAGTTATAGATTACAAAATAACAAGCTATTTCATGGAGGGATGATGTCTACGACTTCTCCTTGTTTTTATTTTTTTTTCGCCCGCCCGCTCCATTATTTTTCTAGAAAAATCCGTTAACCAAGAAATTAAATTGGTGTGGCCTTAGAGCATAAAATTGCCTCTGATATCAATATGGAATCCATTATGATTTAGCTGGAGGTTCACTAAAAGCACAATCAATCTATGACTTAGATATTACATGCCATTTTCTACATTAGCTTGTTTCTCACTAATGTAGCCTTTTATTATCCTCAGACATGTATTGTTAATGGGGACAGGCAGCTCAAAAACCTTGTATTGCACACAGGCTTTCATTACTTGTATATAGCATGGCACCAAAGATGTTATTAGAAAAAATTCTGAAACTTGTGATTAGCCCACTCGATTGTAACACTTTATCAAAGACTTGTGCTATCCCTTATTATTTGAATAATTATGATATAGATTTGTTAGGTTTTATTCAACATTAGGTCTTATTCAACACTTATTTTATTGTTTGTTACTCTCTTTATGTAGTTTGCCATACATTGTACCATGTGCAATTGTCGTGCAATAAAGTTCTTCCATATGATGTTAATAATAACAGATAGGCTCTCCTTACTACTAGCACAAACAATTGAACAAAATAATACATTATAGGTATGTGTTTACTAATTTAAAATATTCGTCAAAAACATTATATCTACGTGTAGTTACATGAACAGTAATATTTGTAACAGCACGTAAATACAATATACATGTAGCTGGTTATCAATAGGATACTGAGCAGAAAAAAAGTACCTTTGTGAGAGAGGGGCTGCATTTTTGGCTTAAATCATCTCCTTGTCTACCTATGACCCTGTAGAAGAACAAAGAACATAATTCTACATGGATATACATTAAAATGTCATACATGCATATAAGAATCCTTTTGTAAGAAATACCAATAAACTAAAACCATACACACTTCTATACGTCCACTGTTTAATATCTACATGGGTGGTGGAACTGCAAAAACCTTGCACAAACATGTGGTGATCATACTTTTTATGTATGAAAAGGCCATATAGGGCATTATGAAATACAGGTACAAGATTAAGTTACATATACATGTACTAGTCTTGTAATCTACATATATATTAGCAATGATAATGCAGATGTGATAGCGAGAAAGAGAGAGATATACCTGGATAACACTGGTCTCTTTATGACTGTTTGCCAGCAAATGTAACATACCAGTATTATCAGCCCTAACTACCATGTAGCCTCAACAATCAAGACTTGTCAGACAAGCCTAATGGTGAGGAATCTAATCTGTAACAAGTTACCCTGATAAATAATTTCAGTGTCTGCCAGACAATCCAGCGAGAGACAAGCTGAACAGAGCCGGCTAACGAGAGGATTACAGTAATTACAGCGGCATGGTGAGAGCTTGTGTACATTGACTTTGGCTCTACATGTTAGGGAAATCCTGTGCTGAGTGGGCAGGGCTCACCCAATTTGTGCACCCAACCTAAAAAATTGGGCGAAAAAATTTGTTAGATGTGCCAAATAAAATCCAGGAGATTTTGAGCCAGGCACTTAGATGTCAAGAATATGCTGTACACTAGAAGTACACATTTAATATCTTTACGTACATACACCTACTGTACATGTATGAAAATATTCCGGTGTACCGGTACACCCATGGAAAAGAAACTGGGTGCACAGGTCCAATATTGGGTGCACCAAGGTGCACATGAACACCGTATTTTGAGCCAAGAAGGTGGGAAACAGGTTGACATTTGGTTCACAGCCAGGAAGATTGGATGTGGGGCTACGAGAGTCTGGGGGGTTCCTGGATCGTGGAGGTCGTGTTTTACAGGAAAAAGAAATACAGGATCTCCGGAAAATTTATGCACACATGTACAAGCCATGTGGAACAATTTTGATGTCAACGTATATATGATGATTATGTATTACAACAGTTTCAGCTCAACCACGTTTAGTAGGCGGTGAGTGCAGAAAACCTAATTATCAACACAGAAATCTGACTGGTGCAGCACAACAGTTAATATTTTCCCATTAACCATTAGCTCTATAATTGCAATTATAGCAGGCACCCATGTCAATTTGAACAATAAAGGGCTCAAGAAGTACAAGCAAATAGGCAACACATTTTATTTACATGTGCATACATGCACATTATCAGTCAGTTTACCTACCTACAAAATATTTCTTCAGCTGCTCTTGACTATAATTCTGGAAAGAAAGACAGAAATATATCTTACTTATAGATTCATTCACCACAGTGAATACATTGGAGACAATTATTTAAACCAAGTGTAGTTCAAATACTAGTAGCCTGTATCTATTGAAAAGAGAGAAGAGACCTTGTAGATATTGTAATTATTTCTCCTACCCTTATACCGTTACCTAACCTAGTGCCTTTGGTCAATATAGGGCATGAATATGCAATAGAGTTGATGGTCATTGTTCATCACCACAAACAAAAAGAACTTCAGAAAGAAGCTGAACTCCTCTGCAGTACTTACTGGATCTGACAGGCTGTGCTGTTTACCCTCTATGGACTGATCCTCCAGGACTTGCCAGGAGGACTTTCTACCCCTGTCCTGCAAGACAAAAGGCAACAACAACTCTGTGAAAATTCCATCAGGCTGGTAAGTCACTGAGTAAAGTGACTATTTTTTACACAACCAAGAGGTTTATTTAGCTGACATTTTGAGGGGCTACTGACAATAAGGACTGCTTTTAAAATTAATGTCTTGAAAACTCACTGCCTGCGACAGGCAAAATTCTGAAGCAACGTTGACCAAAAATCCAACAAAAACTGCAAAAAAATGTGTACTGTTTGTACCTGGATCTGTATCCCGGCCCAAACCAGCTCAGTGCGTATCTCATCACAAGCCTTCATCAGAGGTTCTCTCTCTTTCCTCTGCAGTTTGACCTGCCCTGCCTCCCCCTCTCCTGGTGCTGGTGCAGCCGTGGCAGCAGTGCTCTACATGGCAATTGTGTGTAAAAAAATATGACCACAGAGAAAAAACACTATGTTTGTCATATAGTTATCTCAACCTCCCCCTTCCCTGTTGTATAATGTAGATGTATTACCCTTAATTCTCAATCTTACCGCACATAAAAATTAATGCATACCTTCATCTAAATCTATAATGGAATTTGGTCACTTCATCCCACTCTAACATAGCCTGATTAGATAATTATTGTTTTACGGTTGCCGGCCGCCCAACATCCAGCCGCCCCCAGGCCTAGGGAGGAGCCACTAAAGCTGTGGACGGCAGAGTTTGTGTTACACAGACTAACTTTGAGACATTGTGATGTTCAGACTAAACAAGAGAAAGACAGTGAGTCTGTGATGACCTGTGGTTGTCCATATTTTGGCTGTGCGTCCGGCCCCTTCAGCAGTGCGTAGTGTCGGACTGTACTGCGGAACTTCACCAGAGAGTCCAGCACATCTGTCATCTGAACATTACTGTGCTCCATCCGCATTTTCTGCACAGATCAGAGAAAATGTACAGTTCTTAGTGACAAATGTGCACTTTCGTGACACCAAATCTGTCTGTGTCCTCATCAGTGTTGGACAACAGTATCAACGATACATGCAGGGTGTCACTCCCGTACGTACAGTGAGGAAAGTCGTGTCAAGTGCCTTTCCCAAGGGCACAACATTCTGCACGCCAGGGGATCGAACCTCTTTCTTGGTTCTGAGCCAAATGCTCTGACCATTATGCCAAATGATACCACATGATTTCAAATGCTTCCAGTATGAAATGATGAAAAAAAATGTGCTTAAGAAATGGCAGTAAATGCCAATATAAGACTGGTTTCCTCTCCCAGTTTATTTCTGTTTTGCCTTCCTGAAATTCCATTGGATGCCTTTTAACTAAAAAATTTAAAGCAGCACAATTGCCGCAACTACTACTAGTAGTATAAAATTTAAATGTACTGTCTTGTATACTAGTAGTATATGTCACAGTGCCCCCTACCTTTCTAGCTGGGTACTCCACCCCCAACAGTTGCAGTACTCGGTCCACATAAGCCTGAATGGCAGCAATCACACCCGGGCTCCTCACAGGGTTGTCAACCTGGGAATCCAGAAATACACAACTTATGCTTATGTATAAATGTAATATGGTAATAAACATATTTTAGTGGTATTAGCAGAGTATCCAGTATTTGAATATACTGCTGTGGGGATCTCTTTAACAGAGAGAAGAATGACAAGAGAAAGAAAGAGAAATAGAGGAGTAGGAAGGTGCAAAGGGAAATGAGAAAGAATTTTAATCATATGTGAGACAAAAGGAAGGCTTCACTTCATTCCCCCTGTGATTAGAAACAGAGTGATTACACTTAGTCTTGTTGCATATGAATTCTGAGGTCACATTAAACCGGGGCTCCACTGGTCTGTTTCTATTAACAAAAAACCAACAATTCACTAGAGAAGTCATATTTGCAGACCAAATGTATAATGTTTACCTTCGGACATGGTTTGCTCTGTTAATTCTTACTCAAAAACATCCACATACATGTACTAATAGTATATGGTGACAGGAGCGGAGCAGACCATGAAATTGCAACATTATGTAACCCAACACCAGTCACCATGGTGACAGGCGTCAACAAATCATGATATTGCTCAGGTCAGAGGTCACTGTTTGGAGAAGAAGAGGGAGAAACTGAGCAAAAACAATATGTTTTCCTTTGGTAAACATAATAAGACTGCCCAGCCAGGCCCCGGTTTATAAATGTGACCTCAGCATATAAACATGTACATAAATATCATTCTATATAATTACCTGGCCTCCTTTGCACAGTTGCTTGTTGGTGGCATGGACCAGCTGTAAGATGGCCTCCAGAGCAGCCCTGGTGTCAAAGTCATCTGAAATGGCTCTCCTAAACTTGTCTTTGGTTTCACCTAACCTGTTTACAGACAAAGTAAGTAGCTGTTAGTACAAATATCATGCTAAATTCAAACAGTTATCTGTGACATACATAAAGGCACCCTATCAAGGAGGTGAAATATGACAACATGGAAAAGTCAGTATTCACAAAATTGACAGTGATGCAAAATTATGACAAAATTCATGACAATGTTACACACAGAGATATCAATGTCTAAAGGCTTCACCAAGAGATCTCCAGCCAGGACAACAACCTAGCCAGTGTGTTACACCAAAGGGTGGTTATACTGGCTATACAGATACAGAACAGCACTTTGGCAGAACGTACTGCGCCTGCGCAAAACTAGTTTTAACCTTATGTGGGAATACAACCTTGTATGAGACATTCTGCTGAAGTGCTATGCATATTGTATTATAGGTTTCATGCAGATGCAGTATACGTTCTGCCAATGTGCTTCTGAAGACTACACTAAGAAATGTCCAGCCAGGACGACAACTTACTTCTCCATGAGCAGTGCCTCGTCCAAGGCCTGACACTCCAGCTGGCCCCTGATGTAGGCGTCTGCGTTGTTGAGGAAAGACGTCAGAGTGCGCTGTACGGACACTGCTTCATTCATCATGGTGTCACAGTACTCCACAACTATTAATGACAATAGTTCATGTCAGGTACAAGTCTTTAGCGTGGTTACCAAACCTACTATAGCTCCCAAGTCCTACAACCTCTCCGCAAAGAGGATGTAGGACTCGGGAGCTATAATAGGATTGGTAACCACGCTAATAAGTCTTATCATGGTCGTGAGCATTACACTTAATATGTATATCAGGGTACAGTATAGTAGTACTAGAGATCTGGCACAATCGCTGATTTTATTCTGCCAGATTTTACCAGTAAAAATCCCAATCGCAGTCTCTGTTGACACAAGACAATAATCAGGATGCTAGGAATGTGTTAGGGTTCTCTCCCATCTATAAATTCTGAGTTTCAAGTCAATCCATTGATATTAAGTGACATGAGTCTGTGCCTGTTGGTTGGCCAGCATCCCACACTTCCAAATTGTTTGTAGCATTTAAAAGCGTGGAGTAAGGCTGTTATGAAGATGGTTTGGGACGTTTTATAGCTGTTAACTGGTAACTGTATTTAAAACAAATGAGCAAATTCTTACCATTTCTATACTTAGTCATCATACAGAATATTCTGAACTGGTTGGCTGTGTACTTCTCCAGAAACTCCTACAGGTAGAGAGATGAGAATATCATCATTTTTCATACAATACAACGTACATGTTCATTGCTCAACTACGTGCTCACTTGAATTTCGAAAAAGACTGCTGTAGCACAGGAAAAAATTGTTGTGTCCATTGTTTTCAAACAAAATTTTAGCACTGCACTATATAGATAATATCTATTAACTTATTGTTTACTTTACACAGCTTCAAGTCAAGTGAACTCACCCTGATAGTGATGGTATTTTTGAGAGATTTTGACATCTTGTCTTTGTCCATGGTCTTGTGCAAGTGTCCTGTATACAAAGAATAAAATTGTTAGTGTCAACTACAAATGTAGTACTTTCCCTTTATAAAAAATGTTTTGCAATAATTACAGCCATTTATAGCAATGATCACATGTAACATTCCCAGACAACTATGGTGGAATATCTATAACAAGCTGTTTCGGTAAATTACTTTCTTCAATATTAAAAACTGTCATGCAGAAAACAACATGACACGGCTCTGTGTATTAAATAACTTAGTTATGAAATATGTTCAGCTGCAGCTGGTTTCTTAAGCTTGCGTTTCGTAGATTTTAGTAAGGCATTTGGTTCCTATAGATGCACCATCAGACTTGCTTGTCCTTCAGCCTGAGAACAGTAGACTGCAGTTCTGTACAAACCTGCATGGAGGAAGTAGTTTGCCCACTGAGGGACACAGTGGTGGGCCTCACACTGGGCAATCTCATTCTCATGATGGGGGAAGATCAGGTCTATCCCTCCCGTGTGGATGTCCAACTGCTCCCCAAATATGGCACTAAAGCAACACAGCAAAATACATGTAACGCGACTGGAAACTTGTGGGGTTGTGTGGCATAACAGCTTGGAACCAAGAGGTCCCAGGTTCGAGTCCTGACATGCCACTGATCTTCTGCCCTTGGCAGTTTTAAATTGAACATTATGCAGCATGCCGAAAAGCTATATAGAAGCTTTTCTGATGATAATGCAACCATATGTATGATGTCTGTGTTGGACTTGTGCAAATGGACACAACTGAGGCTATGACTAGATAATAACAGCACGTCGGCAAAACGTACCGCGCCTGTGTGAAATTCAATTTTTCATTGTTTTCGTTGGATAATCGGTCAACGTTGGATCAAAATTTTTCCAGTTGCAGAGGATATCTTATCTGACATAACATTTGGAAACTACAAACGAGATATTAACCTTATATACGCAAATATACCTTATATGAGATGTTCTACCAAAGTGTTATGCACAATACATGTACATTACGGGTTTTACGCAGGTGAAGTATGTTCTGCTGACGTGCCGACAATAACCACTGTTGTACCCTGTCTATTCCCCCTACCTTGCCATAGTGGAACACTCTATGTGCCAGCCTGGCCGGCCCCTTCCTTTCCCCCATGGAGAGGTCCACCACGGCTCCCCCGGCTTCGCAGACTTCCACAGGGCAAAGTCTCGGAATCCTCGCTTCTCCTTGTCAACTACAGGAGAGAACAGGAAGGGACATTTCATGGAGTAGCAATATAGTACGTGTACTCAGGTTTCCATATAAAGTGGCTTCCCAGGTTACATTTCATAATACAGAAGAAGGCAGTTGGACACACAGATTTCATAACTTTTGTATAATATACATGATACTCGAGAGTGAACTGTTTGTGACAGGATTCATACCAGTGTTGCTTCGCTGGTACCAAATCGCCCATTGACAAGTAACATGTATTGTAAGTTAACACTATACTTGGTGATAATTTAAAAAGAAAACCTACATAATGTAAGGGTAAATTGGCATTAATCTAATAACACTTCTTAAATCTTAATGGTATACTTCAAACTATGCACATGTACATGTACATGTACATGTAAAAGGTTTCTGAGTACAAACCTTACTCCAATAGGACAAAACAAAAAACCTCTCACCTTCCCTAAACTGTGCCAGGTCCGCATCACTCTGGTACACCAGTTTGCCGTATCTGTCTCCATACTTCTTCACATCAAAGTACACACTCCCTGGGATTGGGTGGATCATACAATGTCTCATTCTCTTACCGTAGACACCAACTATTTGCATCACTGCTATTGTATTGGAATAAACCTGGGATTTGCATAAAATACTGATAACCCAAACCATTTACTATTCACTCCATTATAAATTGACTGGCATAATCGCATGAGGTATTATGGCATAAACCTGACATTGGGGTAAAATATTTCCAAGTCAATCGCATACTGACTGCAAAGAAAGTTTAGTCATTATTCCACTTTTCACGTGTTTTTGGCCAAGTGTTATCCAAAAACAAATGCCCATGAGTCCTGACACAGGTAGGCAGCAGTGACAGCTAGTCTTCACACCACACCTCCAGGCAGCCCAGATTCATAATTATGCTTTCTGATATTCTATAGTACCCATCTTTGACCAAGAAGAATAAATACATTTTTGTAGTTTTCAATCAGAAGAAAATTTCTCACAAAGGTAGTACGTTCTGCTTACCACTCTCTGTAGGGTAGGCGTAACCCCTGTCCACAATCTTCTGTACAAATGTGATAATCTGAGGCACGTAGTTGGTGACTCTGGTGTAGACTGTCGGGGGCTGAACCTGGGAAACAAGAAGTTGAAGATTTCACACCTTTGTTTAGCCTGGTATCCAGTCCGATCGTGGTCGGGGCCAAAAGAGCTCTGTCCTGCCCGCCTCACATAGGTTTCCCGGTGTGTATTTCACGAGAGATTGATTAGCCCTCCACGAACATCGTGTTGGGGAAACCAAATCTCCAAGCATACTGTCTCTTATTACTAAGCGTAACTCTCCTACAGGGACAGTCTGTTGCACTGGGCGGGGGAAGCTATTAGAGCCCCCGAAGGCACAACCTGCCCGAATACCCCAATACCCCCAATCATACCAGGGTAACCTTTGTTAAGTATTTAGAGTCGTTGTGAATTTCTTGATTCATTTACTTTAAGTTACTTGCTGTGTGATTCTGTAGCTGTATAAACTGAGCTGGTCCTGGGAAAACAGGAAGTCAAAGATTTCACACGATTGTTAAGTACCGGTATTCAGAGTTGTTGTGGATTCTTGCTTGATTCGTTTACTGTTTAATGAGTTCATTGCTGATTTTTTTTTTTTTACCTTTATTTAGCCTTGAAAGATTACACTTTGGCCATAGCCACTTTTCAAGTGCTCAAGGTGAATTTTGTGCATACTCTACCGTTACTTCCTCCCAGCCTGTGGAGAAACCATTTTGACCACTGATTTAACCTGTCAGTTTGTAGTTACACCAGTTCCCCCTTTACCTCCTTTAACTCACCATATTCAAATAAATACAGGGGTTTTTCCTAGAAAAATTTAGCATGAGGGAGCAGATCGCAAGCAAGGCAAAGAACGAAGCAACTGAGGGGAATTTTTTGATAAGAGTAACACAGTTTATAATGCTAGAATGCACTGTTGTATTGTTTTTACATCTTTACTGGAAAAGATCATTTTGATAAAGACTAAATGGTGTATAAGTAGCCACAGGGTTCAATTTGAAAATTGATATGAGGGAGTTGGCTGGTTACATGAGGGAGCAGCACCCTTATTCCCCTGTTTAGAAACCCTCCTGCAAATAAGTATAAGCCTCTTTGAAGTTAAAAATATTCCTAATGACCCAAATTACCATTTTGATGTAAAAGCCTGAACCTCCAATGTTTATATACATACCCTGAGTCTTCCCATGTCCCTCTTGAACTCATTTGCAAAGGTCTGTGCAACATGGGTGAACTCCATGTTTAACTGAAAAAGAAGACCACATATTATGACTTTGCTCTTGATTCTAATCTAGTACATGCAAATAACTGCATATTCTCAACGGACTTTTGCACTCTTAAGAATTGTTATGCTTCAAATAGTTGGATCAAAAAGGTGTCATATAAGCTGTTGTCTCTAATATATTTTGTAACAGGACAGCATGATCATGAAATGTCTTCACGTTCAAGACATAAGTCGTGACATCTGTGGCGAAACCCTGGTGTGAACATTTTTTCATACACATCTTTTAATAGAGTTGGTAGAGTGCTCGCTTTGTAACCGGGAGGTCGTGATGAGTTTAAACCCCGGCCGGGTCATACCAAAGACTTTAAAAATGGTACACACTTCTTTCTCTGCTTAGCACTCAGCACATATGAGAAAGAGTGTGGGAAGGTCAAACACACAGCACTACCAGCGGACTAGCCCCCTGCTGTGTAGTGTCCTGCACAACTGTGTGTCGCCCAAGGGCTACAAAATGGAGATGGGCACCACCCTACGCTGAGTATAAGAGCACGGGAGATAGACCTTCTTCTTCATCTTTTAAGAAGCTTTTTTTAGCTTGTCAGAATACATTGTGTTGTAGTGAAGTCTGAATCCAGAATGTTCTCACCTCTCTTGCCTTGCTGATGATTTTATCGTCGATGTCTGTTATCCCCATCACCATCACAAGGTCAATGTTAAAGAAATCCTCCATGATTCTCCGGATGATGTCAAACTTCACGTAGCAGCTGGGAAAATAAATGTCAAGAAAAAAAGTGAGACAGACATCACCAGTACATGTATTTACTAATACTGTTCATACAATATGTTTTGTTTGATATACCGGCATTTGCTTTGTATTGTAATTTGGTGATACAACAGCAAAAGTTTTGCAAAAAGACAAAAAGTGTGAGTTAAGCAGTGTAAGAGTTTTCTCGTGAAAAAAAGGTGAAGAAAAACAACTACAACTAGTACAAGTTTTAATGTACATATATACAGAGTACATTAACCTCATATTCACCTGATCCAGGTCATCAATCGGTACCCTTTCCAAGGGTAATGAGACTGTCATATGGTTTGACTGTATATCAACATTTCTTTTAATAAGAGGTTATGGGCACTGATATCCCCCAAACAGCAGTACTTACCAAGCATGTCCTAGATGAGCGTGGTCATATACTGTGGGCCCACACTGGTACCTGTGGAAATAAACACTGCGATCAGCACTCACAGTTCACACATTATGTATGTATTCAGATAACTGCTATTTGATTTTTTAAACACCTTATCATTATTCTTGTGCAGACACTTCATGCAGATACATGGTTTTCTCCAGTACTGGGCAGTACAGGATCCCAGCATAATCCCTGTTACTAGTAATAATTTAATGTGACTTATTTGAAGTGTTAGGAAACAATCAGATGCCAGGGAATGTAAATAATTACCTGTACTTTAAGTAATTGCTTACATTATGAATCTCAAGCTTTTGTCAACCCTGACCCACATATTATAACGGTCACATCAACCCTGTATTGTGTAATTACTTCCAATTGATTTATTAATTGGGGCAAACCTTTTAATTGGCACAAGCTAATTAGGTGGTTTTAAGTAAATAAGAGACAATGCGAATGAACAACATGCAACCTGAACACTTGATTGTTCCCTGGCAAGTTTTTTTCCAGACTTACCAAGACGCAAAACTCTTGTTTGGCAGAATGAGTGGCACTTTCCTCCGGCAGAGGCTGTTATACACCACAATCCCCGTGTCATGTCCGGTCGGCTGGATCCAAGCTTTCGGGTCGTGGACAGCCTCTTGCGACGCCGAACTCTCCTGGAGTTCGCCCACTACGTGGTGCCCGCAATGTCTTACGCTGCTTACTGCATCTTTAAGAAAGTCCTGACCACCGTCTGTGCCCGATATAACCTTCAGTAACCTCTGCTGTAGCATCTGTCGTCTGCCGCCTCCCACCACCCCTCCGGTCCGTATACAGCCGCGCATGTACATATTCTGCTTCGTTAACAACTCATACGTGTTAAAGAGCGACCCGAGACGATTTTGTACAAAGGTTTCTTCCTCTTGTAAGTCTCTGGAGAAGCTGGAAGTGTAAAGAGACGGTCGCAATCATCGTCAGATGGAAATATTACACAACATGCATCATGGAGTTTTCCATCCAGCCTGGGAACGAGATTTCCTGGGGACGAGGTTCACCTTTGATCTTTGGAATGTACCATCGCTGTACAGGGGGTGACCACGAGAAACATATAAATTACATTTTGGCGTGTTATTAAAAATGGAAATCAAATCGATGAAAACACTCTTATATCTAATCATTTAATTTATGCTTGTTATGATTGTGCCACCATTTGGTGTAAACCAACTCTCTAAGATTGGTGTTGGCATTTGGATCAATGGTATATTCCTTTTAGCTTTGAGAGAAAAGATGGCGTCCCAAAATAATTGCTACATTTTCTGTCTTCCCGATGAAATTTTGGAGATGATTATAGGCTATGCCTCGTATGAACAGATCAGTAACTTGCGCTCGGTAGGTGGTGTATCTTTTCCCCAAGTTTTTGTGGTGGTTGGTCGCATTTTGATTGGGAGAAACGGGGTCTAGGTGTTGTCCTCTTCTCCGCGTCATATTTTGATTTACACGTAGCTATAGCTAGCTATAATACACATCCATGGTTTATCAAACGCCACTAACAGCATCAGAACTTCATTTGACTGAACACTACCGTAGCCTGTGTAGGTAAAAATACCAGGACTGTGCCTTTATATCTGTTTTACCAGCTGTTTTCCATCATTCCCAGTGGGGACGTCCTGTGGCGTAAAATTATGGCAAAGTGCTTGATTTGGAACCAAGAGGTCCTGGGTTCGAGTCCTGACATGCCACTGATCTTGTGGCCTTGGGAAAGAGTCTTGTCTGTCCTATATTTCGTTTCTATGTATGGGACACAACACCAGCAACAGCTCATGCTGCCTTTATCCCACATGTATTGTATTGTTACAATTTCAATAAATCAAATCAAATCATTGCAGGTTTGCCGAAAGTTTGACGTGGTGTGCCAGCACCTGCTGAACCAGGGGTTTGTGAAGGTGGACATGTACCACGCACAGTGCTACAAAACCCTGAAGGCCCGCCTCCCGCGGAGGGAGTCGGAGCGGAGGAACCACCCCATGGCACGCCACGCCGACATCCTGTCCGCCATCGAGACACGCCTGTCACTCCTGGGCATGACGTTCATGAAGTATGTGGACATGAACCTGTGCTGCTTCATCCCCGGGAAGGTTGGTCTACTTTAGCAGTCTAAGGAATAAGTGACTACAATTGTTGTTTACTTAAACAAACTAGAAGACAGTACTTTTTAGTGAGCTCCTGTCACACTTTCAGGACCTTCCCCCGACACCAGCACTCCAAAAGATCAGCTGAAGTTGAGGTGCAGTTTGACCAGATTTAGGCCATTGAGTGAAATTTCACCCCTGAACATGTTCCAAACACTGCTGAGTGCTGACACACTCCTGAACACAAGCCGAACATTGCTGAACCTCCTAACCATGGTTGGGTGAGTTCGGACAGTATTTTGGGTGGCCATATTTGGCTACTAGTGGTTGTGACAGTTTTATGTTGTTATTTCTCCAGGTAGTGGATGAGATCTACCGTGTCCTGTGGTTTATAAACTCCACCCCGTCCCCACCGCGGGCACATGAACTCCTGCAGGAGCTGAGAGACATCTCCTCCATGGCCATGGAGTACTTCGACGACAAGATCGCCCCGACTCTCAAGTCCAAGATACCCATGGAAGTCTCTGTGAGAATGACACCAAACATTCCAGGTATATAGTTCAGTTTCACATGGCTGTACATGTACATATAGAGCATTTTTACTCACTGAATACATATCAATGAGGCAAGCAGGTGCTGACTGCCATTTTTTTCTTTGTTTTTTTTGTTTTTCTATTCAACATTTATTACAAGACATGACGACAGCACACTCAAGTTTTATTTTTCAACTTATTTTTATGCCCGCACCAATGCAGTCAAACCCATGAACAATCAACAGACAACGTCATTTTTACCTAAGTGAAGTGAGATAATTTGTGTGGAGTGCCTTTCCCAAGGGCACAAGATCGTTGGCATGGCAGGATTTTAAGGATTAGTGTCCTTTCTTTGCATTTCTGTAACTGTATAGCAGGTATTCAATGAATCATAGCTGGAGCATACACAATAGAGACTGCAGGTGGGTATTTCTGACACTGTAGACTAGTAGTCACACCTAGTATTTTGTTTCCACTGTTTCAGTTGCTTCCACGTCTGGTCTAGACCAGTACAGCCAGGTGGCACGGCTGGCACAGCAGGTGCAGGGGCTGAAGAAGGACCTGGCCTCGTCCCGCACAGCCATGCAGGAGCAGCGCCAGAAGGCTGTCCAGCAGGAGAAACTGGTCAGCACACAGAAACAGCAGCTGGCAGCACTGCAGAAAGTGGTGAGGACAAATAAAATTTTTTTTAAAAACAGAACCAGGTGGATTTTAAATCCACCTGGTTCTGTTTTTAATTGATACACAAAAAAAAAAAAAAACTGGTCATATGTCCAAGGCTCCCCCATACCAAATTTCAGGTCAGTTGGTTTTGATATTAGGGCACAGGAGCCAAAAATGTTAACATTTTTTGTCCAAAAATCCATATTTTACACAATTTTAAAGTGATGTATGTCAAAAGCATGAATGATCTTCTTTGGACATGTGTCCAAGCTATCCCCATACCAGATTGCCAATAACAATGATGCAAATACTAGTAGTTGATGTCTACTGTATGTAAAATACAGTTGCATCATTGTTTGGATTTCAACTTCTCTGCCCAACAGGCCGCCCTTCAGCGAAAGACCCTGAACAAGCAGAGAAAGAAGACGAGTCAGCTGGAGGAGGTCGTGGCAAAGCAGGAACAGCAGCTGTCTCAGCAGGAGCGACAGATGGCGGAACAGCAGCGCAAGATCGCTGCGTTGGACTCTCGCATGGACGACATCAGCAACCAGCTGGCCAAGGGCCCACTACACAGCGCTGTGAATGCTGACATGCACCCGCAGACAAGTAGTAGTAGAGTAGGAGGCACCCAACACAGGCGCACGAATACCGTCACTAGCAAAATGGACAAAAACAAAACACCCATCAACACATCAACTGCAGGTAGAGAGCTGAGGAAGAGAAGGTTGTCCACCAGTGAGCAACCTCGCCCCGCTACTGCAGCCTTTCCTGCACCCATGGGTCTGGGGAAGAAGAAGAAGAGAAAGATGGAGAGGGAGTGATGTGCAATGTCTTTTTCTTACATATGATGTAAAAAAAAAAGTTAAATTAACTACCATGTTATTACATTAGGGAACAAATGGAAAAATATGAAAGTATGAGCTGCAGTAATATTAGTGAAAACTTTGATCAATTTTCATGGAGCTGAACAAGGTGTTGAGCATGTATATATCACTACATCTATAGTAAGGAACAGTTTATCTACCACCCCTATTAACTTTCTTTCACCCAGAAATCATGGCATGGGCATGTGTGGTACAAAATGATAGTGAGGAGAGGCATGAAGGTAGAACATACTACTCCTGCATGAAACCAGGGTTTATGTCATTTGTTGCATCAGGATTTTGTCTCTTTCATACCTTTTCCAACACAACATTTGAGAACTGTCAAGGGTGCAGAAGAAAAAAAAATCTATATGTACACAGATGTATCTTATTTGTCCACTCAGTTGTAAATGGATGTTAACATTTAACTGCAATGTTACTTATTCAAAACAAACTTTAATATGCTAGTATTTGACATTATGATAATCTGTCAATTACAAATGTAGAGTTATTAGTGTATGGAAGATAACATGGGATATACATATATTAAGAAGTAAGAGGGAAAAGTTATTCAAGTATTGCTGTAGTGTTCTAGTACTTGGCATAATGTACTTTTCCTAACCTACGAGAAATAAACTTGCTATGACTTCCTAAATCATAATACATGGAACAGTCACAAAGTTTTTTTTTTACTGTTTAATCTTTATCTGTACAGCCGGTATAACCACCCCTAGGTGTAACACACCAGCTTTGCAGGCATCCAGTGCGGCAACAGCTAGCGATATTACACAGCATGATTTTTCACACCAAACCTTTGGCCTTTACACATCTACCGGTAACCTTAACTCTAATGACGATGCCCCTACTGTACTGGCAATGAGTTCCACTCTACAATAGTTCTAGGAAAAAAAAAAGGTTTTGAGCTCAACCCTTGGTTGACACCTATTTGGGACTAGGTAGGTAGGTAAAATACTGTTATTTACACTTCCCAAGGAGTTTGATAAAAATCTCTTCCTCCTTAAACAGCCTAACACTAAGAAACGATTCCAGCTCTTCCTCATTTGAGAATGATTAATCTCGAAGCAGATCCTAGGGTGGCAAAAGACAGTATCAAATTGGCCAGGCAGTTATGATCCATTGGCCAGAGACCAAATTATACCCAAAGCGTATTGGAGTAATGCATTGGACCCTCTCTGGCCAAATTATGGATACTGCCTGGCCGATTTGATACTGTCTTTTGCCACCCTAGGATCTGCTTGGAGAGTAGAGAATGATATCTCTTTGATATCAGAGCGTATTAAATGGGGAGATTGAATGCTATAGATCCCTACTGGTAAATTCCTTATTGTTCCAAACACCTCCTTGCGGTTCTAACTGTTATTGCAGCCTCAGGTGTGATTTACAGCTGGGCAGGTGTCCGTTCCCATGGCAACCACCCCAACAAGCCACTCCCATCATGCCCCGCTCGGACCGTAGTACGCAGGCGCAAAAGGGTATTATGGGTATGCATTCTTCATTTTGTACCGCGGATATTTCGGAAGAAAGTCGATCTGCTTGTCCTTATATCCTACTTTACCAAGTCGTTTAGGATGGTTCCGGAGTGCTAAAGGTGTTGAAACCGGTGCTGTGCGATTGTTACCACCTCCATCGTCAGTTAAAATAAGTAGACTTCAATGCACATCGAAGATAGCTGTGTAGGACACTGGTGATATCTTGGCGCGACTTCGGATTTTTCTTGCAAGTTGTGTCGTCCTGAGGAAGGAGTGAAAATATGGGGGATGTAGACATCGACAAGGTGGTCAAAAAGACTCAAGACACTCTCGGCAAATTCGTGAAGAAGCCGCCACTTACGGAGAAGCTCCTGAAGAAACCGCCCTTCCGATTTTTGCACGATATCTTCACAGAGGTAAGTTTACAGAAATAGAAACCATGGGGGGGGGGGCGTTTAAGGTTCACAAATTCAAAACCCTTAATTTACTTACTTAACTTGTTAAAAAAAAAACTATGTAGCAAATGAACCAACACCGAAAGGGTCAGCAACTTTCATCCCCTCTAATATTGAAAGTCATGTTTTTGCCAATTCCTGTTGTAAAGACATATGATTATCAAGGTATTAAGATACTATTATATCCCAATTGTACTAGAAAATTTCACATCTCCACGTTATACTCTCTTTTACTCTATTATAGTATTATACAGTATTATTGTAATAAAATTGTTCACGTTTCTGTGCAGCTGATACGATCCAGTGGCTACATGAAAGGGCTGTATGGTGACAGTGAAATGGTCTCTGCAAATGTTAAGGTAAGACATGACAATGGCTGCAGAACCTTGTTATACTTGGCTCCAAATTTTCTCATATTTCCATGTTTTTCCATACTTGCTACACATCCTGATATCATTTGTGATAGATAGTTAAGATGCATACATGTGCATGGGTGTGTGTGTTTGTGTCATGAATGCGTTACCTTTATGATTTGACAAATTTCCGTATCTATTTCTATTGCAGGAAAAAGACAGCAAGATTGCCTTCTTACAGAAAGCTATAGATGTTACTGGTGAGTGTTGTTACCCCTCTATTCACAGATCAATCATCGATGTATCAACCTTTACTACCTTTCCAGTTATTTTGGCTAAAAGCTACTTAATTTAATGTCTTTATTTAGCTTATATTATATATTAGGTAACCACATTCTGAGTCAAAGACATTATACAAATTTTCCCCTAAAAATCCTCCCCAATAGCATAGCAAAGAGATACTTTGGAAAACCCATTGTCACATATTAAATGCCACAACTGTTTTTAGTGATTGTTACCAGAAACACAGCTTTTATTTTTTAAGCTGGTATGTATGTTAATATTTAACCTCATAATTTATTCCACACATTGTACATGTAGGTGTGGTGCCTATTGTGGTGCAACTGATCTTGTTTGACATGTTCAATGATGGTTAAATTCCTGCTGTGTTTCGTTGTGTTGCAGTGATGGTGACAGGCGAGCAATGTTCAGTTCGGCCCTCCAAAGTTGTAGCAGGACACGAACCTGAGAAGACGAACGAATTGCTACAACTCATGGCCAAGGCCATTAAGAACAAGGTAGTTAGGCTAGGGGTTCAATGGCATAATATTTTGTCTTAACTACTAACTCTATAATATTACTAGTAATTGTGCATTTTACTTTTCAAACAGCAATATGTTGTAAAATGTTTGCCAACAGTATATGCCATGGATTTAGGTCCAGACCTATACTAGTAGGTTTGTCATTGCAGAAAGTGTTTCTGAATTGCAGAACAACATTTTAACATTCTGCAATATTGCAGAACACTGAAAAAAAATTTTTGCAGCTGAATTGAAATGAATGTCTGCTGTCTTCAGATGAATAGTGATGAGGCAGTACAGCGAGTTCTGAATGGGGAGAAGCCCGGATCGGGCAAACCACCCACCGGCAAGAAAGGCGACAAAAGCGAACACAGAAGCCGTGACAAGGACAAGGATAAAGACAGAAGACGTCACCATGAAAAAGACAAGGAGGTACTAGTACATACAGAACTTAACCACTGTTTGTATTCTGTATGTGTGTGTTTGTTTGTGTGTGTGTGTGTGCGTGAGCTTGAAGCGTGAAACCTTTGCACAAAAAAAGAGCCCAATAAACTTATCGAAAAGTGTGGGGGTGACCTGATGTGTTTGATTGAAAGTCACCAAAAAGTCTAAAACTTATACATTGTAACCCCATGCGACACTGTTTCCTGCGTATTGAGGGATGAATTTGTCGAAGATAATGTTATATCTTCATCCTGAAGTCAAATTTCCATTTTCTTAAGAGATTTGTGAAGAGTTATAGGGGTTACCCCCCAAAAAACACCCCTACGACAGTGTGAGGAGCTAAATCAAAGCATAGGGGGGCCAAACAGCCTGTGCTCAAACAACCTGGTGAGAACTATATGTCTTTGCCTTCCCAGGACAAGAAGGGTTCTGGTAGCAGGGACCGAGCCAAGGAGCGCAGCAAAGACAGGAGCAGGAGCGCAGACAAGCGAGAGAAGGAGGAGAGACGAGAGAAGAAGGACAGGGAGAAGGAGAACGAGGGAGGGAAGGACAGGAAAGACAGACAGGTGCAGTAGTACCTTCATGGACTTCTGCTTAAGAAATTTTTATCAGAAGATGTTCAATTTTTGGAAAGATGTTGGGAAGATGTTTGGATATCAGAAATTGTGCTCCCAGAACATGGTCTAACCCTGTGTATGTGTAGAAATCCTCAGGAGAAATGCATGAAAGAATAGCCATGAAGTGCAGGGGATGGTCCTGGTGTCCCAGTAAGCCCTGCATGATTGTGTAAAACTCATGAAAACTTAGCGTTAGGTCACACCAATTTGATTTGTTGGTTGAAAACTCATTGAATTTTAAACCAATTCTATTAATCCACCTATAGTAGCACTTGGGTCTATTCACACGATGCTCAGGCCTGTTCTGTGTTGTTCTTTTTCACCTGCCTGCTTCATTCAATCACTGATTTCTTTTCAAAAATCCAAGAAGTCAAACTGGTGTGACTTCCGAATAGATACATTTGCTGGTAGCCTGTGTCGTACAATAAAGATGTTAGAAATTAATTTTTTCACCACCAACATTGTGGCCCCAGCAGAGGAAAGAGGAGGAACGAGAGGAGAAGTCTTCAGAGAAGAAGGAGACACCATCAGAACCTGACAAGGCAGCAGGCGGGGAACAGGAGGAGGTAGCTAGTCCGCCCTCCCATCTTTCTCCTTCCCAGCACCGTGCCCCCCTCCCCACTGGAACTGTCAATTCTCATCTCCTGTGTTCCCTCATCATGCATGTACCGTTTTCTTTAATAAACCAACCTGATATGTTATCATGTAGCAAGCTGCTGATCCAAAATTCAGTATGTCTAACTGCATGCAACCTTCTTAACTTATTTTCATCATAATACAGTATGTACAATAAGGGAAGACAGATAGAATTCCCCTGACATTCTTAGCATAAATCTACAAGTGTCACAGGCGCGTACATGATATGTAATTGTATGTCTGTGTAATCTGCATGCTGTTTGCCGGTTATTTTCTGGTGATGACCAGCGACATTACAGTCTAGGTCCCCACTGGAACTGTCAACCCTTATTTGCTGTGTTCCCTCATCATGCATGTATCTTTTCCTTTAATTAACCTGATTTGCCACCATGTAGCAAGCTGCTGCTACCCATCCCAAATTCAATATGTCTAACAGCATGCAACTTTTTCAACTTGTTTATCTTCATCATTATATCATACAGTACATACAATAAGACTTAGTGAAGACAGAATTCCCCTGACGTTCTTAGCACATAAATCCACTTGTCAGAGACGCACACATTGTACAGTAGGTGTAATTGTACGTCTGTAACCTGCATGCTGTTTATGCCCATCATTTTCTAGTGATGACCAACAACATTACAGTCTAGGTACAGACTGTCAGGTTGCCACTATCAGTCCGATGTAAGCTTGGAAGACTCTGTTGTCATTATGTACATACATGTACATGAATATTTTCTTTTTTTTCTATTCTAATGGTGAATATGCAACCCTCCTAACCATGTCTAACTGTGTTTCCTCCCAACCATACCCTGTGTTGTCTTGTCATCATGAACTGATACATTTTGTCTTCCTGTCATCTTTCCAGTGCAGGACAGCTAAAGCATGGTGGCTGTCCTTGGCTCTACAACAATCCTTTTAATCTGCACCATAATGCATGTTTACATCTTTGTACAAGCATACTGAATGGCATACTAATGTATATGACAACCCCATTGCACTTCTTAATCTCTAAAATCTTCCATCCCAATATCAGTTTTAAGGTTGCACTTGGCATACTCGAACTGATGTTAGTATTTTCTACTCAATTCAAATATTTTAGATAATTACTTCCGGGAAAATACAAAACATAGTAAAATTTTCAAGTTTTCTTCTTTGTTTGTTGCTGTGCAGGAGGAGGGAGAGCAGGTAGCCAGCCGTATCCCCCGGCCCTCGTCAGCCAAGGGACAGAGACGCAGACATGCCCGCGAAGGGGGTACGTACTGCTCACTAGATATGTTACAACCGTGTAGAAACAGTGCCATTTCTCCTATGTTGAACAGTACAAAGATGGCATCGGTAGCACAATGTTTAGAGTGTTGGACTCGGTTCGATACACTCACCATGCCCCGACGTTGTTCCCTTGGTAAAGGCACTTTACACAACCTTCCCTTCCCTGACGGTGGAGTGATGCCCACCCAGCCTCTTCGGCTTATCTATCTGTGTGCCAATACACACTACTTTAATTCTTCCATTTGGTGTGCAATTGTGACAACATTGGCACATTTGCCGCCATAAAAAAAAACAGTACAAAACACGGGTGTACATATCTAGGGTTGAGGATATTGTGTTGTTGCTCAGATGGTTCAGATGGAGAAGCAGACCAGACTCCTGACACACAGGGCGACGCCGGACACGCGGAAATGAACGGGGAAGTCAACGGGACGGACGAGCTGCCTCCACAAGTCATCGCAAGGTGGGTGCAAGGTTTCTACTGAGAACACATCTTCACTTTATTTGCATATCAATCAATAGTTTGTGCTTATAAACCTGCATTTTCCCTCTGGTCTCTCAGTCACTGACGAAAGCTAGCGGATACTAGCTGAAACGTCTGACATTTTCAAAATTATATCCAGTTGCTTGAGTAACTGCTTTTTGGCATATCGTATTACCTGGATGTCTAACCTTCATCGACGCATCTTCAATAGACTTGTTTACCAGTCAGGGATCGCACAAACTGCTTACGTCACAGGACATTTTGAGAAGAATGCTGTTCTAGAACCCAGAAGTTGAACGCAGCTTTCTCTTAGTGTTTCCCTCCTGGCAGATCACTGTGATGGTCTGCATTCTGCTCTAAGATACCAGAATCGGCTATCTGGTGAGATTGAGTGGAAGGAAACAGGAGACAGCCGGTTCTAGAATGGTGTTCTATTCGAAATGTCCTCCCTGTGAACTGAGAGGTCCTGGGTTTGATTCCCTGACATACCCCGATGTTGTATCCTTGAGAAAGGCACTTTAAAATGATTTCCCTCCCTGTACGGTGAAGTGACACCCACCGGGCCTTTTGGCTAATCGTTGATACTTTTGTCCAAACACTGATGAAGACACAGACACATTTGAAACTAAGAACCGCACCATTTTTCCCCTCCAGTCGGAAGATTCCTCGTCCAGGCAGCGCCCGGCCGGCGGCTCCCAGGAGAACCAGAAGACCAGAACCACAGGAGGACCCCAGTGCAAGGTACGTAATGAACTGTCCCCAGTGCAAGGTACGTAATGAACTGTCCCCAGTGCAAGGTACGTAATGAACTGTCCCTAGTGCACTGTACCACAGGAGGACCCCAGTGCAAGGTACGTAATGAACTTTCCCTAGTGCACTGTACCACAGGAGGACCCCAGTGCAAGGTACGTAATGAACTGTCCCTAGTGCACTGTACCACAGGAGGACCCCAGTGCAAGGTATGTAATGAATTGTCCCTAGTGCACTGTACCACAGGAGGACCCCAGCGCAAGGTACGTAATGAACTGTCCCTAGTGCACTGTACCACAGGAGGACCCCAGTGCAAGGTACGTAATGAACTGTCCCTAGTCCACTGAACCACAGGAGGATCCCAGTGCAAGGTACGTAGTGAACTGTCCCTAGTCCACTGAACCACAGGAGGACTCCAGTGCAAGGTACGTAATGAACTGTCCCCAATTAGATATTAATAACACTCCACCTGGCAACTGTGGAGTCTTCACAGTCTTGGCAGTGCTTGGAGGAAATACTGAAACTCTGTCACTTGAATTTTAACTTATGAATGCAACATGGACCACAAAATCCTTCATTTACGCAGAGCCTACATTCTAAAGGTTTAACAAGTAGCATATAGACATTTTCTTGTTAACTGTACATTTGGTTGTACATGTACTATCAGAAAACTGCTCACTAAGTGACACCAACTAAGCTTTGTCAACCAGCAAAATTTGCCCTTGAACGTGTTTCAAAGGGTCAAGATTACAATTGTTTGTATTCCCTTAGGTATGATGACATAAATTTTAAACAATGAATAATTACATGATGATCTAATTTGTTTATTCCAGGATAGGGAGTGGTAAACAAGTGGCAAGTGTCATCATCGACGATGGTGGAAATTCAGATGATGATGATGATGATGAGACATTTGTTGTGGAAGACTCAGGTCCTGTACCACCTGAAATGGAGCCTGTGAGTTAGCTTCCATATTCTCATATTAACAGTTCTATAGAGTAGCTTTATTTAGAATGAGTTCCTATGTGTTACAATGGACCTATAACATTATTACGTCACAGTTTGTTTACCGCAATGAATGCCGGTCAATCGACGTCTATATTGTACAGGGGTGCGTAGCACGGTGTGTGTTTGTGAAGTGTTAGCCTAATATAAGGCTTTTAATACAGTACTACTTTCGTCTAATGTCACAACTAAATCACCCATGCGGCATGTAATGCTGTGTCAACACAACTAGACGCAGCAAAAATCAGACATACCTTACTTTGAAAACTTTGAAATGATCTTTATTCTTTAACTGACCATTCTAGAATGTTCTTTAGAACAGGTAAACAAACTATGACGTAATAATGGTATAGGTCCATTGGTTTACACAGTCAAGAAATTCTAGAACCATGAAAGTACACATATAAGATATCAAGATTTTGGTCATCTTGCCTGTCTCCCAGAACACAATATGTCCAAATCACTTGTGAACACAGGCTCTGTTACATGTCAGTGCACCTTCAGTATTACTATCATGAAAGTTTATCTGTGTTAGTAGTTTCATCTGTAAAACATGTTCAAACTTTTGATCCAACACAAAAAGAGTTCCCTCACCTAGAGCTCAGATCTTCCTCAGTAGACTGACCCAGTGAGGCTTGTTATGTAGCTTGTTTGAAGTGTGATGCCAACACTGGGTCAAAGGTATCAGGTAGACCTTTAGGCCACACCAATTTAATTTGTTGGTTCTTGGATTCGCCTCTTCATTTTTTTCTGATTTGCAAAAAAAAAAAATTTTGATTTCTGGTCCTGAATCAACTGAAAAATGCTCATGTTTTGCCCCCCAACAGTTGAGGAAAGCCCTTTTCTTCCTAGTTGTTACAGTTTTCCCATCTATCATTGCAGTGGTTTGATTAAAAGTTCAAAATTCAATGTTTAAATTTTAACCCAGCCTTTTGTGTTGACTTCATGGCTCATTTTGTAGCATTTAAGCCTATAATAGGATGCCTAGACCTGTTTTTATTTTTATTTTTTTCGCCCTGTCGCTTCATATTTTTTCTGAAAAAATCCGAGAACCAACAAATTAAATTGGTGTGGCCTTGGTATTGTAGCATCAGTTCCCCCACACGTCTAACCTGTTCTCTCACCTCACCAGTTGGAGCCCACCTCAGGAGAAGTGGCTGATGATGGGGAACATGGAGGTCTGGTCAGAAAAATCCTGGAGACCAAGAAGGAGCTGGAGGGACAACCCAAGTCTTCACACAAGAAGGAGCCGGTGAGGGAAAGATATAAAGCCTTTGATTCTCCTAATCTTTTGTACATGTACATAGACACATCGCCTAGATTGGATTTCCTCAAGATCATACACAATCCTTCAATCTGCTATTCTATTGTCCCAAGCAGAACTCAGTTCATGATCAGTCATTTAATTTCCCCTCCCCCACTCACACAGAAATTATTATATTTTACCTAATCCTAGAGAGTTGACATAGAAAAATGTTAAAAGAACAAAGCTAAAGCTAAAGTCAGGTTTGATTTATTCTGCATCATTATCATTGTAATGGTTTTTCATAATCACTTCTTTTAGAAGACTTATTGAAATGCCATAGTCACCACCAGTATGTTTTTTCTTCATTTTGACCATGTAGATCACCTAAGGTTTCTTACTCAGAATAACTTGAATTCCCCCCAGGAGAAGCCCCTAGTTTCAGACGCAGCCTGGAGGAAGGAGAGAGAAATGGTGTCTAAAGAGGTGGAGAAGCTACGGGCAGCCATCCAGGTTCTCTGTCGGAGTGCCAACCCGCTTGGTAAGGAACATGCAGGGTTTTAGTCATCCAACTTTGTCCCCATGGGCAGAAAATAATCTGGATTTCTTTTAATCAAAAACTTCTTCTGAATTAGTAATGTTTGTACTTTACTCCTTGCATTTATTGTTGATTTTGAACATCTGTTCTCAATACAGTAAGACTAACAAAGTGTTATCTACTGTATAGAACAGTACCCCCCCCCCATCTTAAATCCAGTTGCTGAAGGCTGGAGTCACTTTTTCATGTAGTAAAGTTATAATTGAAAGCTTTGATCATGACTAGTTTATTTATGTACTAATTTACTTAGCCAGTACAGTTTACTTTATTTATTCATTTATTTATTTATTCTATTCAGCCAGGCACTCCAGAAATATTTGTAGACTAAGTGTTTATTTTGTTGAAACTTTCCCTCTGTAGTCTAACCTGTAGTTTTGCTTTATGCCGTTGTCTACCAGGTAAAGTCATGGATTATGTGCAGGAAGACATGGATGCCATGCAGAAGGAGCTGGAGGTTTGGCGGAAGGAAAACAAGGAGCTGGACATGGCGATTAAAAGGGAACAAAGGTGTGTGTTTTATATAGATATTAGTACAGTACTATTATTAATACTATTTTCAATAGTCGTTGCCATACATTGTACCATGTACAACTGCCTTGCAGTAAAGTTCTTCTATAAACATTACACAGTGGATAAAGAGACTCTTTTGACACAACCAACTTGATACCTGCGCTGTGCAATGTGAACCCGTCAGAATTGCCCAAGGAAGGGCATAGGAAAAAATGTTGCTTCCTGTTTCCAGACCAACCTTAGAAAAAAACTGCCAACCCTAGCCCCTTTTTTGTGTGGACCCCTGCAAGGGACATAAACTTTTCATGCTGATTGACCTTTTCTTGCTCCATGATCTGACACCTTGGTGATGAAACATTGCACAGTCAGTTTTCCAACATTGACATTGAAATGAGTATGAGTCACAGACCACTACTGTTGATGACAAGATGACTTTGGTCTTCCTTTCCAGTATCACCAACAGTGAGGTAGAGCCACTGAAGGCCCAGTTGTCCGAGCTAGACCAAGCCATGGCTGACCAACTGGACCAGATCGCTGCAGTCAAGGCCAATATCATGCGCAATGACGACAAAATCAACAAGATGATGGCCAGTATGAACTTCGCCTCCAGAACCTAGCACAAACAACTCTGTACAGACCACGTTTTTTGGGGGGTGGTTATAATCAGGAAGACAAGTTTGTCTGTTTTTTGTTGTTGTACAAATGCTGACGATGGTCATTTTGGTAGCCAAGTGACTTAACTGGTAAATTGTGCTGACATTGGCAACAGTTTTTTTCTTTTTCTCAAGGAAAGGCTGTCTCTGATGCTATGGAGAAGTAAGATGAAGTAATGTCAGCCCCATTTACTTGGTGTACACTGAAAGGGAAAGCGTAAGATTAGTATTGTACATTCCAGAATTTCCTCCCTGTACATTTAAGCTAAAGGTGAGTATGATGGGTCAGTCAGTCTTTGGATGCCACCTTTTTTTCGTATTAAGAGAGTGAAAATATGAGGTAGAAAAAATTTACAATTGTAAATAAGACTGTAGTAAAATAGGAAAAAATGAAATTGCAAAATGTTGTCACATCAGTAACTTAAAGTTTGTGGTTCAGAAAAAATATATGTGGATGTTGTTTTGTGAGTAGAGGAACTATCATGAATGTTTATGTGGATTATAGCAAAGTAGCCAGAATTTGAGATATGTCCTAGCCTGATTGTAAGGGATGTTCTTATTGTGTATATTCTGCTACCCAGTTACAATCGAGATTGTATATATTTCTTGAATACTCTGCTGACAATAACTGGAGAAATTGTGTTAACATTATACATCACTTAATACTTTGTCAGATGCAGCCAAAAGCTTGCATGAAATATGCTGTAGATTCAGAAGTAGAAACCATCGACAGGATATGTACACACAATGTTGGCCCAGAACAAGGATATTACCTGTTGCAAAATTGGTATTTAAAATGCCGTAGCCAATGAACTTGTCTCACTTCTCAGTGGAGGATTCTTATTGGTTGACTTTTGCTGTTGTGACAACATCACTGTGACATGATCACACTTCTCAACATACTGTACATTTTGTACAATACATTGTTGATTTACACTGTAGTGCATAGGGCAGGGTCCATCAGTTCAATAGGCCTTGGGCCACACAGTAGTGCAATCACTACAGCAGGGGGCTAGTCCACTGGTAGTGATTCAGCCAGGGATCGAACTCACGACCTGTCAAATGCAAGACCTTGACTTGTTGACCACAAATTTTTGTCACAATTACTCTACATATTTTTCCAACCTGATTCTGCAATATTTCTTCGTACATTACCCATGGTACGCTTACCTTCCACGTCCTCTCACAGAGATACATAACACTTGTACCCATGCACTTCTTACACTTCTTACACCTCACATTTTTTTCCCACTGTTCATTCGGTAAACTTTTCAATTGAATGTCATAAAAATTGTATGCATTCTGCATCCTAGAAAAACACTATAAAAGTACAAACTTCACTGGATAAAGCATTCTAGAGTTAGGGGCTGGGAGCCTGCTTTTCCGTAAATAAAAAGTTGCTGGTGACACATTCGCTTTTGACACATGCTTGTATGATATGTACAGAATACAACATAATTGAATGGTTTTGAGAAGGATTATGTCGATAATATCAATCGGTCGGCAGTTTTTCAGGTAGTATTATTTGTGTTTGCACTGTGGACATCTGAAACATGAAATAAATCGTGTTTGAAAGTTGACAAAGTCTCGGGAGGTTCTATTGATCTGAATAGTGATTTGAATCTTCAAATGTATCCTCTAGCAGTACCCAAGACTTTTAAAAGTCTCAGGTACTTAAAAGTTCTTTTTATCTTCTTTTATACTTAATTGTAAAAGCAATTAGCCTTCGGGCATGATTTTGCGAATAAAGTTTATCATTCTATTGTATGTATTATGTTACATGTACTACCGTATTATATACATGTAACATCACACTCTGATGTATGCATTTAGCCCTATGGGCATGAACATGCAAAGGAAGATTCAATCTTGTAAAAAAAGGTTGCCATTGAGGTGTTTCAACAGCACAAGACCCGGTAGTTTTTATAAACTTCGTTGTAATGATTTTTGCACAGTTGAACTGGAATTTGTGCTGCCCCAAGGCTAAGCTATGGGAGAGACTGAGTGAGTGAGAGAGAATTATTGTCCCCTCACTGCCCCCTCACAGAATAATATTTACTGTCTACCAACCTCGTCATGTGGCCAATGAGAAAGATTCATTTGCATATCGGTAGCGCAAAGGTCGTATTTGCGTTACCCTCAGCACTACATAGCAGTAAATATATACAGTAAAACTTTCGACTCAAAAACATTTTCCCTTTCATCGTCAGCTACGGAACGTCCTCTAACAGGTAAGGCGAAAGAAAGCAAGTGTGATTTTTATGTCAAATATCAGCTTACGTGGACACCGAATTGTGTTGTGGGCAGTGAACTTAAAAGGCTATTCAGGTACAGATATACAGGGCTTAAGATACAGGTTTGGACCTCAACAAGCCAATTATGGGTACAAGCAGTGCTGTAGCTAACCTTCCTTTCTAGTAACCTGTCGCCTTTGTATGAAAATTTACATTGTCATCTTTGAGAACTGTCTTGAGTCCAAAAATAGTATACACCATGACCAGTCTATTTTAGTTTGTTGCATGTGCAGGTACACAACATGCCCAATGTTGAGCCAAATCCTTGAACTGCCACATACGTGAGAGGTCAGGTGTTTAGGGCTAGGGTTAGGGTTGGTATTAGAGTTAGGGCTAGGGTTACGGTTAGGATCATTGTTCAGGGCTAGGGTTAGACTTGATTGGGGTAAGTTAGATTTAGTCTCCCACATCACGACTAAACCCCTCCCATCCCTTGTCTCAGGTATATTGAAAAACTACCAAGTAGTGTTGGAGTCATGTACATGTACATGTATTTGGCAGGATCATGTACACTGTAACGTTATATTGCTTGGCTCTAGGTTCTCTAACTTACATACCAGTATACTAACAGTTTACGTTTAACAGGTGGAGTCATGTGGCGAAGCAGCAGAGTGCTCGACTCGGAACCAAGAGGTCCCGGGTTCGAGTCCTGACATGCCACCGATCTTGTGCCCTTGGGAAAGGCACTTTACACGACTTTTCTAGCACTTCATGAAAAGAGGGATTTACCAATGCTGGTAAATACCAGGTAAGTCTGGTAATGGTTGCTTTAAGCAACCAT